TATTCATTGAGGGTAGGGCTAATAGCTATATATTTTTGCTTTTAATAATAAGATAGCTTGAAAGTTGAATCAAGAAAATATACACATAAAGAATGGTCTAGATTAATCCAACTTGATCTAATGGTAAAAAATCATTGTCCATAATCCTCCCCTCCCACCATTTCTGTCTCATCAATCATACCGTTCAAACAGACCAAAAAAAAATATAGAAAACTTTCAATGCTCATTGAGTACTATGTTGGCACACTTATTTGGTGCTCATCACCAATCAGAAGTAGCCAATTCATTAAATTGGCAGGTAATGCCAGAAAATATTACATAAGCTTAATAACCCTACTTGGCTTATGGAAAAAAAACAAACCGTTTTCTTTCATTTTCTCTCTCCTATAAACTTTCTCTATAATCACCCATCCCCACTGTCAAGATATTGTCCAATTTGAGTGTCATACACCCTCACGGCGTTATTCCTCTAAGGGTTTGCCCTTAAAAAGGCCTCTTAATAATTGAGGCAAGAAAATCACATAAATAGTTCAGGAACTTTTCCTCTCCAATCAANGTCTAGATTAATTCAACTTGATCTAATGGTAGAAAATCATTTTTCCATAATTCCCCTTTTCCCAGACCATAACTTTTTATCCCGATGTCTGATTAACCTGATTCTTGCAGCATTAGAAACAAGATATTGTAAGTTGGCACCGTTCGGATGCTAATCCACCGTTCGGACACCTTACTAAAGTGTACCCTGATTAAAGTTTCCTTTGTTTTTGATATTATAAATACCCTAGAGACACGTTTTAGGATTTTTATACGTATTTTTCAACCCCCAAGGAGTNCTGATTTATGCCTATCAAAATATCGCTTGATGCATTACTTGATCTGATTTTGAAAGCATGATTTGATTTCTTGAATTATTAGTTTGATAAACTCGAATGCACCTAGCATATATCGTACAGTATGTAGACGTATTTGTTATCTCAAGAGGTTTCAAGATGTAAGACCTCGTGCTATAATTAAATAAGGAGATTATTATCTCAAGTGTTCTTCTAATATAACAAAAATGATGATAGAAACTTTAAATTATTGTTGAAAGAATGAACATAAAGTTTGAGTTTTGCAGGTATTGACTTTCAGGTTAAATTTCATTTAGGAGGTGTTTAAGCTTGAGAAATGTAGCTAGGTAAGTTTCAAAATATTTTTAGATTAAAACAACATTACCATTGAATCCGAAAGGTCGAGAATTCTTGGGATAGGTGATATGGGGTGTATTAGAAGTTTGGAGGTGTTTTGGGGTTGAAATGCATTTTAGAGAGAATTCGAGTAGGAATGAATTTGATACTACTTCATAACTTTTTATTCCGATGCCTAATTGATCTGATTCTTGCGGCATTAGAAATAAGGTATTGTAAGTTGGCACCGTCCAAACGCCAATCCACCGTTCAGACACCTCACTAAAGACAACCCGATTAAGGTTTTCCTCGTTTTTGATATTATAAATACCCTAGAGACGCATTTTAGGAGAGCCTTAGATAGAAGGAGAGGAGAAAAAGAATAGATTGAACTAGACCTTGAAGGGATCAACGAGTAGATAATCACACAAAATACCTTACGAGTAATTATCTATAGAATCAAGTTATGGTTTCTTTTCCATTCCTATTCATTGAGGGTAGGGCTAATATTTATATATACTTTCATATATATAATAAGATAGCTTGAAAGTTGAACCAAGAAAATATACCACATAAAGAATGGTCTAGATTAATTCAACTTGATCTAATGGTAGAAAATCATTTTTCCATAATTCCCCTTTTCCCAGACCATAACTTTTTATCCCGATGTCTGATTAACCTGATTCTTGCAGCATTAGAAACAAGATATTGTAAGTTGGCACCGTTCGGATGCTAATCCACCGTTCGGACACCTTACTAAAGTGTACCCTGATTAAAGTTTCCTTTGTTTTTGATATTATAAATACCCTAGAGACACGTTTTAGGATTTTTATACGTATTTTTCAACCCCCAAGGAGTCTAGGAGTGCCTTGGAGAGAAGAAGAGGAGAAAAAGAATAGATCGGTCTAGATCTTGAAGGGATCAAGTAGACAATTACACAAAATACCTTAGGAGTAATTATCTACAAAATCAAGGTATGTTTTCTTTTCCATTCCTATTCATTGAGGGTAGGGCTAATAGCTATATATTTTTGCTTTTAATAATAAGATAGCTTGAAAGTTGAATCAAGAAAATATACACATAAAGAATGGTCTAGATTAATCCAACTTGATCTAATGGTAAAAAATCATTGTCCATAATCCTCCCCTCCCACCATTTCTGTCTCATCAATCATACCGTTCAAACAGACCAAAAAAAAATATAGAAAACTTTCAATGCTCATTGAGTACTATGTTGGCACACTTATTTGGTGCTCATCACCAATCAGAAGTAGCCAATTCATTAAATTGGCAGGTAATGCCAGAAAATATTACATAAGCTTAATAACCCTACTTGGCTTATGGAAAAAAACAAACCGTTTTCTTTCATTTTCTCTTTCCTATAAACTTTCTCTATAATGACCCATCCCAACTGTCAAGATATTGTCCAATTTGAGTGTCATACACCCTCACGGCGTTATTCCTCTAGGGGTTTGCCCTTAAAAAGGCCTCTTAATAATTGAGGCAGGAAAATCACATAAATAGCTCAGGAACTTTTCCTCTCCAATCGATGTGCGACGGCACACATGGCACTGTAGCACCTCACCTCCCCACACTTAAGCTAGTCTATGGGACATTTATGGTGATTGCTTTTAACGCCAATCACTACCATGTTATTTGATTATTTTTCAAATTGATTAATATTTAATTAGTTTAATCTTTAATTAGTTCTTTTATGTGTGTTTATCTATGTAGTTTGATCTTTAATTAGTTTAGCATTCACTAGGACTTAATTTTCTATTAGGGTGTTCCTTTTCCCTAAGCATTGCCCTGCATCAACTTCATATGATTGTATGACATATAATAGTTCCTCTGGTTGAAGACATGTGTTCATTGGTAAATTTTTGCACCCTTCAAATACACACAAACCCAACACACAGATCAGACGCATACACACTCTCACACCACACACAAACCCTACATAATGCATATGCGTGCGCGCGCACACGCATACACACACAGACAACCAACCCCTCGCCACCCCCCNTGGTTGAAGACATGTGTTCATTGGTAAATTTTTGCACCCTTCAACTACACACAAACCCAACACACAGATCAGACGCATACACACTCTCACACCACACACAAACCCTACATAATGCATATGCGTGCGCGTGCACACGCATACACACACAGACAACCAACCCCTCGCCACCCCTCTCAAACATATTAGGACTTGCACCCAATTTGTTCAATTTGTCCCAAATAATAACTCTCGTGTCCCTCATAAATATTTCCACAATTGAAATTTATATCAACTCATTTATACCCTCTAATTAATTTACATGAAAATTTCATGAATTTCATATCCTTTGTACATTTTGAGATTTGGGATTGACCATATTTATTTGGAATAATTAACATTGAGAAAATTACTGATTTGGTTAATGTTACGTAAATTCGGGGTTGCCAAAGGTTATTGTAGAGATTTTGGAGAATAAAAATCTTCTCACTTGTGGTATTTTCTACATAATTGTAATGTGATTTTTGGTGATTTATTGAAGGAGAGATTGATTTAGAAGTAGTTTATTTCATTTTTTATGTGATTGAAGTTATTTAGGACTGAAAATTTTTATGGATAATTAAATTTTTAAGAAAATGATTATATTACACAATTTTATGCTTGACCTATCACATTTTCAAGTGTTCATATGGTGCAGTTGTGTGGTTAGTTGTTCATGTAGGAAGAATAGTTTTCAGCTACTTTAGAGGCATAAATGTTTATTTGTTAACCCGTCCATTTTATTTAGACTTCTATATAAGCAACACATAATGAGTTGTGGGGGTTGATTTAGAATAGTTAACACATATTGATTAGGTTTGTGCGATTAAACTTGAGGAATGTCATGTGGGGTTCACAGTTTATTTGTTTAATTAGTATTTTATAAAAGGTGGATTATATGATTAGTGTTTTATGGATTGTCAGGTTGATATTTTCTTGGGATCCTTTTTTAGGAAAAATTTTGTCCAATTTTTTTAAAAGAACAAAGAAAAATTATTTTGATTAAATGTTGACGATTTTTTGTTTTAACATAATATGGTGCCTTCAAGCAATATCGTTTCTTCTAATTGCATAACCTTGTAAATTCCTGTAAGTTGATTTTGAGTAAATATTGATGGGCGCTACTGTGAATTTTAATATGTAATCTCAAGCATAGAAAATTTATGAGTTTTCAATTTTAATTTTGTAAGACTCTGATTATTAAAGTTGAGTTTTCTCTATCTCTTCAATGAAATTTGTCTTCACTAGAATTTTCATATCGATAATACTTTGGTGAGTACGGGTATGTTATTAAGGATGCAATTTCGACTTTCAGCTTAGTTTAGACTTTTAGAAATAGCAAAAAAAAAAAAAAAAAGTTTAAACTTTTAGCATAGTGTGTGTCAATGTTCTGTGCTTAATTTTTTTCGTGTCCACAATTAATATTCAATTTTTTGTGTATTGTACACTGTCTTTGAGTATGAGTTATTGTTAGTAAATATTATATAGTAATTTTTTTTTTTTTTTTGAACAATATATAGTAAGTTGATAATATAGGAGATATAAATTTACTATATATACGTGTGTGTATTATACAAGAAATGGATAATATATGAGATTGACAAGGTTAATTAGGTAAAATAACAAATTCTGTTATATTCATCTACTGACAAACTCGTATAGGGGTGTTAGTGCAATTTTAGGTAATATAAGGGGTGTGCTTGAAGACAGAGTATTCTAAAAGGGATGTGGATGAAATTTTTCCTTGTATTAATGGATTCTCCATGGTCGGCGTCCTGCATGAAGGTGAAGCTTGCCAACGTTCGCCGATGATCCATGAATGAATTTTTATTCTCACAATGGACGAAGGTAACTCCCACTCCCAAACGGTAGTTATCTTCGATCTGTCGAACCATGAAATCCATTTCCAGGTTGAAGAAATGTGTCGGCGCAGCATCCATGGACTCTCCTCCTCCATTGCTACTACTTCACCTGCTACGTCCATATTCCCTCAATGTCATCGAGTTGGGCAATGGACCTGAACGTGATCCATCCACTCTAATCAATGACTTCACCAGATTCTGCTATCAAAGAGACCTCCCCAGAGCCATGACAGCATTGCATTCTATGCAAAACCATAAAATATGGGCTGACTCCATCACATATTCCGAGCTCATCAAGTGCTGCTTGGCTCGCGGCGCCATCGAACAAGGTAAAGTCGTCCACAAACACATTTTCTCTGATGGGTACCAGCCCAAGACCTTCCTGCTCAATGTTCTTCTTAACATGTACGTTAAATTTAATCTCTTAAACGAAGCCCAAATGTTGTTTGTTCAAATGCCCCAAAGAAATTTTGTATCGTGGACAACAATGATAGCTGCTTTCTCTGATGCTGACCTCAATGACAAGGCCTTGGAGTTCTTAATTCTAATGCTTAGGGAAGGCGCCAGGCCCAACATGTTCACTTACTCTTCTGTTTTGAGAGCCTGCGCTGGTTTACCCAACCTCAGACAGCTCCATTGTGGCATTATCAGGACTGGGTTGGACTCTGATGTCTTTGTCAGGAGTGCTCTCATTGATAATTACTCGAAATGGGGTGAATTGCAAAATGCTCTCTGTGTCTTCAATGAGATGGTGACTGCAGATTTGGTTGTTTGGAATTCCATTATTGGTGGATTTGCTCAAAACAGCGATGGGGATGAAGCTCTGAATCTTTTCATAAGAATGAAGAGAGCTGGGTTTCTGGCAGACCAGTCAACACTAACGAGTGCATTGAGAGCTTGCACTGGTTTAGCTCTGTTAGAATTGGGTAGACAATTGCATGTTCATGTACTCAAGTTCCATCAAGATCTAATCCTTAACAATGCACTCCTCGACATGTATTGCAAGTGTGGCAGTTTGGAAGATGCCAACTCTGTTTTTAGTCGGATGGTGGACAAGGATGTCATCTCTTGGAGCACCATGATCATAGGTATGGCCCAAAATGGTTTCAGCCAGCAAGCACTGAAGTTGTTTGAGGCAATGAAAGTCTCAGGCACCAGACCAAACTACATTACAGTTCTTGGGGTTCTGTTCGCTTGCAGCCATGCAGGACTAGTAGACAATGGGCAATATTACTTTCGATCAATGAAGAAGCTTTTTGGTATTGATCCAGGAAGAGAGCACTATGGTTGCATGGTTGATCTTCTTGGAAGAGCAGGGAAGCTTGATGAGGCAGTACAGCTAATTCATGAAATGGAATATGAACCAGATGCTGTGACCTGGAGAACTTTGCTTGGCGCCTGTAGGGTCCACCGGAACATGGATCTTGCTGTATATGCTGCCAAACAAATTCTAAAGCTGGATCCCAGTGATGCAGGAACCTATATACTTTTATCCAATATTTATGCAAATTCTCAGAGATGGGAAGATGTTGCAGAAGTGAGGAGGACCATGAGGGGCAGAAGAGTGAAGAAGGAACCTGGGTGTAGCTGGATTGAAGTAAACAAGCAAATACATGCATTCATCTTGGGGGACTATTCACATCCACAAATTGATGAGATCAGCAGGGAGCTGAACCAGTTGATTTGGAGGTTAAAGGAAATGGGTTATGTTCCAGACACAAATTTTGTATTGCAAGATCTGGAAGGGGAACAGAAGGAAGACTCACTCCTGTACCACAGTGAGAAACTGGCAATTGTGTTTGGTATGATGAACTTGTCGCTGGAGAAGACTATAAGAATCAGGAAAAACCTCAGGATTTGTGGAGATTGTCATGTCTTTGCAAAATTACTGGCTAAGATGGAGTGTCGGAGCATTGTCATCAGGGATCCTATACGTTACCATCATTTTCGTGATGGAGTTTGTTCTTGTGGGGATTATTGGTAACAGAGGACGTTGTTATGAGTCATTACTGGCTAAGATGGGGTGTCAGAGCATTGTTGTCAGGGATCCAATACGTTACCATCATTTTCGTGATGGAGTTTGATCTTGTGGGGATTATTGGTAACAGAGGACGTTGTTATGAGTCATTACTGGCTAAGATGGAGTGTCGGAGCATTGTCATCAGGGATCCAATATGTTACCACCATTTTCGTGATGGAGTTTGTTCCTGTGGGGATTATTGGTAAGTAACAGAAGACGTTGTTATGAGTCTTCACTGCAGGCTGCTTCTCTAATGTATAAAGGACCTATTCTTGGCACGGTTTTAAGTCCATTAGCGAGCAGATGTACATATTCATCCAAACCATACATGAAAGAATAGTGTAACAATACCAAAAGATTTTTTAATTTGTAGACTGACATTGATCAAATAGAGTCGGATATGTCACACCTATTCGACAAATCCGGTTAGTCTCATTCTCTCCCCCTCTTCTCTTCTTTCTCTTTCAGTTCTATAACGCCCACACACACATCCCTTTCTCTTCTCTGCAACACATCAAACACACCCACACACAGCACACGCACGCACTCAGCACACCCCCACAGCATCGAAAACACGCATGCACGCCCGACACACAAGCAAACACGTATCACTCATACACACACCGCACATGACGGGTTTGTTGAAATGACTAAGAGAAATATTGTCTCAATCTCTAGGTTTTGTTTGGTTTTGGTAAAATTTAACTTGTTTCGATGTGTTTTGGTTAATGTGCAATGCTTGGGGGTTAATGGAAAAGGTCTTGGTCAGATTGGTTGCTGAAAACATATTGTATTGTACATATAGAATGCTTAAAAGGCAAATCAAGTCCAGTTCGTGAATTCGACCCAATTCAATGTCCGAAAAGTCCAAGAAGAATGAGTACGTGGGAAAGAGATCATTGTGATGAATACACAAGAATTAATTATACTTACCTTTTGTAACTATCCTCCCAGAAGAATTAGTACCCTCACACTCACGTCACTGCCTCACCAAACCTATAAATTATAAACTCTCTCCACATGGAAAGACATCTCATAACACACCTTGACACCTCTTTACACACATAGTTTCTCTCTCTTAGTTACTGTATCTCTCCTGGAGCATACACCTCCCAGAGCTNAATTAATTATACTTACCTTTTGTAACTATCCTCCCAGAAGAATTAGTACCCTCACACTCACGTCACTGCCTCACCAAACCTATAAATTATAAACTCTCTCCACATGGAAAGACATTTCATAACACACCTTGACACCTCTTTACACACATAGTTTCTCTCTCTTAGCTACTGTATCTCTCCTGGAGCATACACCTCCCAGAGTTTTCTCTCTGTTACTTTATTCATCAATAAAGACTCTCCGCCACCGTTGTCGTTTCCTGAAAGTAGAGTAGGTCACGTGAACCGAACTACTATATATTTTGTGTTGATTCGATATTTACTGTTTTGTAATTAATTATTTTATTTATTGTCCATTAATTATATCTTATCACACACTCGACTGTTGATATTGCACGAGACCAATTTGTGCATCATCAAGGAGAAAGGAAAGTAGATCAAGAAAATTGGGGGTTAATTTGTTTTGATGTATTCGACTTATTTTAGTGTGTTTACATGGTCATTACATTAATTAGGTTAAACAGTTTTTTTTTCTTTTTCCTGAGAAACACATGTGGCATACTTGAAATGCTTCAAACCATTAGGTATGTTTTTTCCATTTTTTGTTCTTGAAGTAATTAAGTTAGTGAATAAAATTTAGATGCAATAGAATTGAAATTGTTAGGATTAGATGATTGATTAGTTGAATGCTACAGGTCACGTTTAATGCTATGATTAGTTGCATTTTATACATGACATTTTAAAGGAACATGTAAAACCCAGGTAAATTTAAACTTTTTCTGAAAAAGGATAAAACAGTAATTTGTCACTATAATGCGGATTTAAAATACGTATTTCTATAAAGCTCAGATGATGCAATGGACTTCACTGTTAGATTCGTCTCGTGAAATTTAGTTACCCTATCAATTTTCATCACATTCCAAAATAGTTGATTTTTTTACGTTTTACGAGATAACTCGGTGTCGAGTGATCTTACAAACGTCTCCAAAAATAAAATTTATAAAATTTTCTTATAATTGAATAAAAGTTTAAATAAAAATAATTTGAACTTAAACCGGAATGAAATTAATCGTTTCGAGGTGAAAACGGATCCAGACAAAGGGGCGTGTCGGGATGGCAGTGGACCGGGGAAAAGCGGGTATTCGTCAAACCCGCCCCGTTTGGACCGGGGATGGACTATACGTATTGAACGGTGGACGTATACGGGGATACCCGTATAAACTCGTACGGGGATGAAGGCAGGGATGGACTTACCCTTACCCCCGCCCCTCCCCCCTAAACATATTTATTGTAACTACTAATCCAGAAATATGGTAATCAAACTAGCAAGTGGCATTGCTATGTGGTAATCTTATCAATTTTTTTCCCTAATTATTCTTTTTTCTATTTGTGTTCACTGATTAAAATTGTTAGGAGTTTGGATTGACCATGTTCTAAAAACAGATAAGAGAGAGTAAGATAGTTTTGCATTTCATTGTGGATAGAAATATTGTGAATGGAGGTTGATGAGTTTCTCTGCTACAGTGAACTAAGAAATTGGGGAATTATTGAATTAGTGAAATTTTAAGTTTTCATCTTTTAACACTTTATGGCTGTAATATGAATTGTAATAATAAAAATTCTTCTAGGAAACTTCAAGTGTAGTGCTATCGTTTTCTTAGTTCAATTTTATTTTTCTTTTTTTCCTTTCTCTCTAATAGTTATGTTTCTCTTTTTGTAGTCCAATGACACTTTAAACAGAATACTATATTGTTTTGACTTTTACATTATGTAATCTAGATTATTCACTAGATTATTTAGAATGTTGTTGGATTATTTAAAATATTAGATTTATTTAGAATTTTAGATTATGCTACTTGGGCTTGGGTTTGGGCTTAAGCGGGTATGAGAAAGCGGGGACGAGGACTAGGATTAAAAATTTATCCGTGGACGGGGAAGGGGATGAAAATTATACCCATTAACGGGGGTGGACCGGGGATAGACAGAGTTTTTTTAAGAGGGTACGGGGATGAAAACTACACTCCCTGCCCTCGCTTCAGTCCACTGACATCCCTAGGCGTGTGCGTGCGACGTGCACCAAGCATCAAGGGCTATAAATATCGATAAAAAATTGATTTTTTAGAAGAAATATCTTCTGAAATCAGTGTGTAAATGTGTGAGGAAGAGAGGAGAGGAAAAGGAGAAGAAAAACATAAATTTCAAGGCTTTTTTCTACGATTCAAGGAGTTTCGCCGATCGGAATTTTTAGGGCCAAGAGTTTAAGTCGATCATATCAACAAGGGCTATGCAACTGTACCAAGAACGAAAGATTTTACCAAAGATTCAAAGAAGAGATTTTGAGAAATCAAGGGTTTAGAGTTGTGGTTGGTGTTCTTCAAGAGTTAGAGTTCCCTCTTACTTTTATTTATTTCTAACCAATGGTGTCCACAAGGAATGGTTAGGTGTATAGAACTTATCTATTGTTATGGAAATGAGAAAATGGGTATAGAAATGGCTTGAACCAATGTCTAGCTTGAATTTGATGTATGGAAGTTACTTGTATAATTTCTTGAGATTTGGTATTATGTGAGCATGCTATGTGTCTATATTGTGCATNGACTTACCCTTACCCCCGCCCCTCCCCCCTAAACATATTTATTGTAACTACTAATCTAGAAATATGGTAATCAAACTAGCAAGTGGCATTGCTATGTGGTAATCTTATCAATTTTTTTCCCTGANTGTGAGCATGCTATGTGTCTATATTGTGCATTTGTGAAGGAAATGTGTTAGTGACATAGATTATGTACTAACATGCTTGTGATATTGTTGTTGATATATGCTTAGTAATATATTGACGGTGTGATAAATTTTGGTGATTATATGCATATGATGTAAGTTGCCATGAAATATGATAATATANTAGATTATGCTACTTGGGCTTGGGTTTGGGCTTAAGCGGGTATGAGAAAGCGGGGATGAGGACTAGGATTAAAAATTTATCCGTGGACGGGGATGGGGATGAAAATTATACCCATTAACGGGGATGGACCGGGGATAGACAGAGTTTTTTTAAGAGGGTACGGGGATGAAAACTACACTCCCTGCCCTCGCTTCAGTCCACTGACATCCCTAGGCGTGTGCGTGCGACGTGCACCAAGCATCAAGGGCTATAAATATCGATAAAAAATTGATTTTTTAGAAGAAATATCTTCTGAAATCAGTGTGTAAATGTGTGAGGAAGAGAGGAGAGGAAAAGGAGAAGAAAAACATAAATTTCAAGGCTTTTTTCTACGATTCAAGGAGTTTCGCCGATCGGAATTTTTAGGGCCAAGAGTTTAAGTCGATCATATCAACAAGGGCTATGCAACTGTACCAAGAACGAAAGATTTTACCAAAGATTCAAAGAAGAGATTTTGAGAAATCAAGGGTTTAGAGTTGTGGTTGGTGTTCTTCAAGAGTTAGAGTTCCCTCTTACTTTTATTTATTTCTAACCAATGGTGTCCACAAGGAATGGTTAGGTGTATAGAACTTATCTATTGTTATGGAAATGAGAAAATGGGTATAGAAATGGCTTGAACCAATGTGTAGCTTGAATTTGAGGTATGGAAGTTACTTGTATAATTTCTTGAGATTTGGTATTATGTGAGCATGCTATGTGTCTATATTGTGCATTTGTGAAGGAAATGTGTTAGTGACATAGATTATGTACTAACATGCTTGTGATATTGTTGTTGATATATGCTTAGTAATATATTGACGGTGTGATAAATTTTGGTGATTATATGCATATGATGTAAGTTGCCATGAAATATGATAATATACGGTTAAATTGCTCATTTGACATTCATTTCATAGTGGGCATGTTGTTGGCATCACATTCATGGGCATTGGGCATGAGTGTAGGTGTGTGTGAATGGTTGATCAAACACCATGCT